AAAACAAAATTCTATCTAAGTTGGCCTTTCAGACAACTGCGACCCATTGTATGAGCAAGGGTGATCTGGATTTTTGACGTCTTCGACCGGTCTCCTTCTATCCATCATCTCTCCGTAATTTGGCATGACAGTCGTCTTGGGAAGCAGAAAAATCACCTAAAAGCATCTTCAGAACGCATCAATCACCATTTCCATCAACGACTGTAGGGAATCATCATCTCACCTCGTCAGCCAGGGAAGCCAGTTGAAATGAGTTTTTTATGGGGTCATTCACCTATAAGGGACATTATGAGACTCATCTTAGCAACAATCTTCATAAAATAACTTGATGACTATGCTAAAAATGTGGTCCAAATTATTCCTGACTGCTTAATGTCAGTCGACCTGTCGAAATTTGGACAAACTCGCTTTGGAATGTACGAGTCCAAATGCTTAAAACTCCAAGTACCGACATTATCTAGCAAAAAAGTATGGCAAAAGGTCTTCAAGAAATGCCCTAACTTAGTCGAAGTTTTGAACCCATGCATAAAATTCCAAATCCTCGCTAGATTGTAAAAGTAGGCTACCGAAACGAGGTCTTAACCAATAAAGGTAATGAGATGCGGATAGGGATGATAGTGCAAGAGAAGGCTTCTTTAATTATGTGCCGTCAGGTTAAGAATTGTATCACAGGGAAGTGATAGTGGAGCTTAGATTATTTAACCTAAAGTTGTGGGTTCAATTTAACTTTTCTTTGTAAAAAATGCGTGACCATAAAAGAGTTGGTAGTATGCAAAAGGACCAGTTGGTTATTGTTTGCTTGCTCAAAAACGAGTCATTGAAAGGTATGACTTGGCCTACAAATGAGTAATGGTGTACTGCAGGGGAACGCTGCCTTACTTATTTGTCTCACAACCGACGATTTTGTTCTTATTTTGACAATCTTTGGACAATCAGTGCAATGGAATGACTGAGAGGCGACCTATTGTTTCATTTTACAATTATTAGCTCTTGAGTAGAGGGCAGTAAATAGGTTGACCTACTGTATTTCCGATTTAACATTAAAGCTCACCAAACTTATTTCTGCTGCGCTTTCACCATTTCTGAACCCGATCCGTCTCCAAGTTGGCACGATGTTATATTAGTTCGCATTATTTTGCTTAGATTACACAATTTCTACCTTTTCTCATCTAAAAACATTTATTTCAAAGGGGTCGAAAAAGCCGAACTAGGAGAAGGCAGATATTATATCGACTCGAGCAAAAACCAAAGTATTTGTTTAATTTGTAGCAAACCGCTGAGTTAACTTCTAAAAAATTTGAATAAGAATTGGGTCCGCCAAAATTGATTGCAGACAAACTAGCATAGTACTCAATTTACTCATTTAATTCTCCGTTTTCCACTCGGTGATCCTCAAAGCATTCGCTGGCATATCCATTGGTTAGCAAGGCCTCCTAATCTCTGGGAGAACTGAGAGAATTCTATTTCGAAAAGTGAAGAGCCAACTCAACCAACATTAAAAACCACTTAAAAATCTTTGTTTGATGCAGATACTACGAACAAAGAGCATGTGTTGGGAATTGTAAAAGTGTATGGTGGCCTCATATGGATGTCTTCCTTCTATAACTGCCGCAACCTCCCCTTCTGCAAAAATAAATTGAAGAGGTAAAGAGACGCCAATACCTTACAGAGTTATTCTAAGTACCTACAAGGGGGTAATAATCGAGCCTGGATTGCTTTACATCTCAGTCAATCAGGAACAGTGGCTTGACGTTGAGTAAGATATGGGAGTTGCTAGCACCTTTCCTGTATCGGCTCAAGTGAGCTTAAAATGTCGCGGATTCACTACCATAAGGCGGCATTCCTTCATCAACAACTGTTACATGTGTAAGCAACAGGGAATGCTTCTTCTTTTGTTAAATAGAAAAGCAACCGCATAGCCTAAGTACAGACGCATTAAGCGCATTGGAGGAAATCTGATTCGCCCTCAGGTCCAAAGATTTCCAATTTCCCGGTGATCTAAGAAGGCCATATAAGGCATGTACTTCAAACGGTAAATCCAAAGCGAAGAGCATGAATCTATGTTACCATAAAATTCCCTGCGATTGAAAACCTTTACATTGTATTGTTACAGAAGATAGCAATAGTGCTAGGGCAGAAGGCTTGTGGGCTTCTGGTACGTCCTGGTAGCCATGCACCTTAGTGAGTTTAAACCTTATTTGCCTTCGAAGCCAAGACGAGGAAATTACCAATTAATCCAGACATTACAATATGGCTAATGTCAATCTTTGTCCAATGTCACGCCCTAAATGTGGAGACGTTATTGAAATTTGAGTTAAATGAGTAGCGAAATCGAGGCGGATAGTTGAGATCGCTTCATAACTAATTGGTCAAAGGCATATATGCATTTTGGCGACAAGATGAATTGGCGAACTCATGAGTAGGTAAGGAATTTGTCTCAAAACCGCTAGGGAGCATTAGTCGGGGAGTGGCAGTAAAATGCTAGGACCGGTAATGCCCCTCTCAAGATTAGTCACCACTGGTTCATGAGTCATTGCAAAAGCCTAAATTTCACCGCATAAAAGATCCTAAAAATTTTTTCTTGCGGAAACCACTGGTTGGCCGAAGGGTTGAAAATATGCCATCGTGATTGAGAGAGACAAGAATGGGATGTGATCGGGTTCTTGTAAGCAAAAATAATTAATGGTAATGGTGAGTACCGACGAATGGGTGCAATGCCCTGCTTAGATGACTCAGTTTGATTTATACAAACCATTTTGATTTGAAATCAGACGTGAGAACAAAAGAAACATTTGTTTTGGAGGATGGTCCCGGAATGGACTTCAAAGGTTAAAGCTATATTTAGAGGATTTGATTAAAGTGAGACATTTACAAGAGTGGCCACAACCTATTTTTATGCATTCAGCTCCCCAAGACATTTTTAGCTTACCGAAGATCTGGATGTGCCTAGATTGACCCGAATGTATGCAGCCGCATGGCTGGTTTTCTACAATCCTCCGTGTAATCCGAACGTGGAGTTGAATAAATGACTAGTACCATTAATTTCTCCACTGCCTTAAAGGCTGACCAATTTAGCAGTAGTCGCTGCTACAAAGAAACGTATAAAAACCAGCAGCGGTGTTCATCAAATCTGCCCTCGACTGAAAAGGCATTTGACCCCAACGGCTGTGACTCATGTTAAGACTCTCAATCCACCTACAAATTCATCCTGCTCGGAAGTTGGCCGTCGTTTACTTTCATCTTTGGTTGCAGGATCTCTACTATGGACTATTTTTAACATGTTTTGCATTTATTAGAATTCACAACCATTCTCTCACGTCACTGTTACCATGATGACAGCTCATTCGTATATCCCTCCGGCTTTAACTCAGCTAGTAAAGAAGCCGAGAATGAGTTCATATGATTGGTAGTTTTATCCAAATAGGGCAAACAGCATATTCAATCGCTAGCAGCATTCCAACAGAACTCGCAACTAGGGCAGTTACCAAATCTTTTGTTAGAGGCTGTCACGGATTCTTTGTCATGCTGCTGCCATCAGTTTAATATCGCAACTCTAATCACTAGTTTAAAATAACCGTAGAAGCGTGGCAGATGTTGCCACTGCACAGAAGGGCCGAGGCAACCCGAATAGCTTGTGCCACAAAGGAAGTGTAATAGCAGAATGCAGAGACCGCATCATTTGAGAGCGAACTTAGATCACCAACCAAAGCATCGTAGAATATTTCCACACCACCTTTCCACTGTTGGGTTAACAAATTTATCGATGGTATACCATTAAAACACACCACCTGTAACGTATTACGCGCAGTATGTAAACTTTACCCCAGACTCAGGGTGCATCTACCATGCGCTTGCGGCATGCTCACGAAGCGATTGCAGGCATCCACCACTGAATTCGACCAAATAGATTATCTTTCTACCTCTGGCTTATTGGCAGTGTCAATATTGTCATGATGAAACCAGAAGTGTGCAGAACATCTAAATCCGAGATTTAAAGCTACCGAGTTTACTTTCCTCGCCCGTAAACAATCCTAACCATGAAGACACACTTTACTATCACATTCACAGAGAGTAGCCTAAAACTCCCACGATTTCACGAAATCACCGTCGAAATAACGTCGATGCTTCGCTATTCTTCAAAATACCGGGAGCAGAAGAAAAATACCGTTGCGTCTGTATGTGAGTTCCTGGTTTGCAGTCCATTGCCATCGCCCCAATTTAGAGGGAAGAAAAAACTTTACCACTGCATCGTACGTCCACAGCAGCTGTGTAGGGGGCGAAAATTCGGTAGCAGACACAGCTTGTTAGCGCCCAAGCTACGCGACTCTAACAACTTACTGTTACACAATTAAAATAAAGCTATAACCATAGATTGTAGTTGATTGTAACCACCTTAAAAAATCGACCTCTCAACAGCGTTGTAGATATAGTTTAGAAATAAAACCAGTTTTGCTGTTGGTACCCGCTCCAGATCCGAGTAGATTAACCACTAAGTTCTTTAAGGCGAAACTCGACCTACTGAAAGCCATTTGTGCAGTACAATAAGCACCATGCACCAACTGTCGACCTGATTTGTACAGTCTCTAGCCCTGATGCCTCTTACCATCAATCTCGGAGAAAAATCAAGTAACGTGACACCAAAACGATTAGAGATCATGGATGGACTTATCTTATCTTTGCAAAAAATGTTACCTTCACCAATTCTGTCTTATACATCAGTGCAGCCGGGGTTACGTTGAAAACCAGTCGTAACATATGCAACGCTAAAAGGCAACCCGCTTTTTTGAGAAGCGACGTCAACTGCCATCTGCCATATGTTAAGATTAAAGTAACGCTACCGACAACTTATAAGTAGAAAAAACCACATAAATTAGGCTGGCACCCTTGGAGTGCCACCAAAAGATTTACCTATAGTTCAATGACTCCACCTTGGTCAATCGAAATAAGAGACCCTCAAGGGATTGAAGACCAGATACTCAAAAGACAGTAATATTTACGACTCAACCAATGCTTTCATTCCAGGTCTAAACAGAATATAAAGACGATCAAAGGTATGGAGTGACAGGAACAACAGCGCCGCGATCAGGAGCAACAGACGCAGGTTAGAACAGAGCCATTGCTCTCGACATCAGGCAAGAAATCATACTAATTTTTGCACTTGGAGAGATGAAAGACAGCAAAAATAGAGCAGCGAGTAGCTTCACCACATTCATTTCGTTTCAGATTGAATTGGCACCGAACCGATTTTTTTGCGTCTTAGCTAAAACGGTAAAGCGCAAAAAACATTTACAAAATTCCTATTGTTGTTCTGTCCCCGACCAAAACTACTTCTTATACCAATTTTAATGGATCTCTTGATTCGACATTTCAAGCGTTAAAAATGGATACCCATTTCAATAATATTTGATACGGACCAAGGAAATTTAATATTTGATACATCCCGACACCTAATCAATCGAAGTTGCCAAGAGGACAAATCTCACAGATGTAGATAACCTGTCGGGCGCACCAGTACGACAATTAGTGATTAAGCAAGTGGAACAGAACTGTGGAGACCAACATTTTCATTTTATAACACAACTCAGCAGCATCCAAAATGGAGGTAGCCATTCCACAGATGTCCTAAAAATTGACTCCAACTCCTATCATCCAACCAGTTTTTGAGAGATCCAAGAAAATACTCCTAAGCCGAGCACGTCGGGGTCGCCAACAAATGGAGGGGCGCGATGCGTCAGATGTTCCCCATTACATAAAACGCACTTTTGACTAACTTACAGCAGTGACAGTTCCACCAGCAATGGACTCCCCCGCCACTCGCAGTACAAACCGACCAAGCGGTTTGCAGACATCATAAATTTCCATACACACAGGAGATTCCAGGGTTAGTTCAATTTCAGCAGTGCACCGTCCAAATAGGCATCTACAACGAACAACACTTAAATTCTGAACGAAGAATGATGACGTAACAGCATCAAATTGGGAGGAAGAGCCAAAACCCACCTCGGTTTGACAATAGCTTTCTTGCCACTATCTTTGTCTTTTACCGTCGCAGACAGAAGTTTTGTGATAACAGCTGGTACTGAAGAGCAGTGATAATAGAATATAACAGGATATCCTTTCGTTATCGGTTGATGAACATCAAAGACGAGAACCTTCGCACGTAAACTGGTTGTGATAGATGGTAGAGGCGGATCAGGATCGCTGATGACGTCGCCAGGAGTCAATGCAAGATCCGGATCGAGGCCAGAGAGCATTAGACCAACTTGATCACCGGCGAATGCATAAGGCAAAATGATATCCAATGCACTCGTTGCACCCCCACCGCCGCTAGGAACAGCTGCCAACGAACGTATCGATCGAACTGAACCCATTCGCCCAGAAGGGAGACAAATGATCTTGCTGGTAGCGAGGTTTACACCCGCTGATACGGCTCCAGAAACAACTCGACCCGCTACTACTGGTACTGAGGAACCAACTGGTTTGAAGACATCGCTTACGACGAAGCGGAATGGTGCATCCACTGGCCGCTCCACCTTGTCCAGACTGTCTATAAAAGTATGTCTACTAACGAATTTCGGGAGAATGATGTATAAATCTACAGCGATGTTTGGAGCTCACCGATGATGTCCAGAAGGCAAGGTCCACTATACCACGGAGCAAGATGTTGAATGTCTTTCTCTGGAGGAGTGTCAGTTGAATGCAGCAGATTAATACCATAGAGACCAGAGACTGGACAGAAGACTGCGTCCGTCTGATTAATGGTCTTCAACATACGCATCATGACGATACGGATCTCCTCATAACGGGACTGAGACCAGGATACCGTATCCATTTTATTCACCGCTACAATAAGGCGCGAGACACCAAGAAGGCGCACAAGACGTGCATGTTCCTGTGTCTGGCCTCCGGCTAGTTCCATGCCTGTTTCAAACTCACCCGAGGTGGCATTGACCACCAGTAGAGCGACGTCTGCTTGGGCCGCACCGCCAATCACTTGTGGCACGAAATCTCGATGGCCCGGGGCGTCCAGGAGAACCACCTTGGAAAATAAACAGCTTAGAGAAAAAGCAAGGCATAAGTCGGCTTTACCCTTATTTTAAGCATAAAGAGGTCGCTGAGACAGGTGTAATGACACAGATTTGTGTGGCCATCTTAGTACGAATTCACCCCAACAACAGAAACCAGGAAATATGCAAAGCGGTGCATCGGACCGAGAATGAGGTTATTCCCTAACATCGATGTCGAGTTGACTTTGTATAGATTCAGTAATTGGAGGGAAGGTAAACCAGAAACGAAAACTTCCCACCGACTATAATGCATCAGTGTGATTGGAAGAAAATACTGGGAACGGACCTGATAGAGATTAAAGTTTAGCTTTACTTCAGATACTGAAATTACGTTGCAAGAGGGCGTAGGGAGAGAACCGAGCAGTCATCTATTGACTAGATAAATGAGTACGTAAAAAGACATCAGAATTTGAGGAACTATGTAATCACCTCACGGACCATGCCACTAAGTTGCTGGCACCCTATTAGTAAATAATGCGAATCGACACCTGCAAATTATGAACATTATAAACTGAAGATGGAACTGACAACTGTAACAATGAAAATGAGAATCTACCAGCACGAAAAAGTGCCAAACGTTTGTACAATTTTCGCGACCAGGGCAATGAGCGAAAGGACAACTGTTCTGTCGATACAAAGACTGAAGACACAAGCAGAGCACCCCTACATCAAATGCCAATGTCCTTTTAGAAAGAATGAAATAGAAAAAGGCGTCACTCTTCACCATTCTCATCGCAAATTCGCGAGCCGGTACGGCACAGAACGTGTGGGCGACCAACTTTTTCGAAGTTAAATGCAAGATTAATAATCGTCCTTCGCTAAAGAAAGTCGCAACTAACACGCCATGATAAGCAGCCACGAAACGTGACAGAAACTGCGGGTACCAATAAAGCATCTTAATGGAGATCCACTCTGAGCACTAATGGAATCAAACACAACTAAACGTTTTCGCTCTAGCAAAGCTTCGAAATTTCAAATAGCAAGATCGCCTTCGTAAATAACTAACACACCCTCTTGGAGTGGGTCTCAAATGCCATCTGCGCAATATCCATGGTAATGCCACGCGACCTCTCCTCCGACGTCTGATCAAGCACCCAAGCGTAAGCAAAGGATGCCTTTCCAATCTTTTGCGCCTCCCACTGATACTTGGCCAATTGTTTCTCGCTAACGTGACCCAACTGACACAACACATTCCCCATCAGAGTACTCTTTCCAGCATCCACATGACCTGCAAGGGAAAAAAGATTAGAATACCAATTATTCTAGGTGTGGACGGGCAAGGATAACAGACCCACCCACTACAAGGAGATTGATGATATCCTTCTCCTTTCCAGAGTTAATTTTCTTCTGATAGGCTTGAATCAGGGAGGAGCGATCGATAGGTTTACCCAGTTGTGGAGGGACCTTGGCTTCACTAGCAACCTTTAGAGGGCGAGTAGCAGCGCTTCCAGGTTGAGCGAGAGGCAGACCAGGAGACTCAACAGATGACTTCTCATCAGGAGTCTTTAGAGGACGAGAGTTCCGTTCTAACTAAGAGACACACCCTTTAACTAATGCGTCACCGCAAAAAAAACCTGAGTCAAAACGCCACGTACGAAACTTCGAAGGTTTAGTGCGTGTTTTCGGTAACACACATGAAGATATTTTGAAGTGAGATGGGGTATCAAACCGGACGGGTGGGGGAGTATCAAATTTAAAGGCATCGGGAAGCTTAGATGAAGAGGAATTATGCAGGAACAAAAATGTCCTAGGCCGGCGTATTTCGACTAACAGATTAAGGAACTGGAGATCCTTCTGCGCAATCGAGGAACAACCCTGCACAAATGCATGGCCCAAAGGAGATATCTTTTTGTGTGATTGGATGAAATCTGTGCAAACCATATCGACCTTGGCTCTTTCTTCAGTTAACGGGATGGAAGGAACAGAGTTTAGCTGTCTGATAGATCCCGGTGACACAGTGGCAAATTTATGACTCCCAGTTAGTTTTGCCAAAGAACTAAAATCGAATTCTGCGAAGTCATCTGACCCATCATCGGACCCAAATGCTTGAAAGGCGGATGAAGTCGAGTTAAGAGTGCCTTAATCTGTCATAAACAATAGAAAACCTAACCTTGAAGTGGGTTGCCAATATCATCAATGACGAGGGCATCGAACTCTATCGACGGGGCGCTATCTGCGCCCCCACAATCTTGAGGGCGCGAAGCACGATTAGCTAGAAAGCATCAGTAAAATTGAATTTTGTACCAAACGCATCCTCTTCCGGAAATTCTGAAGCGTTAATATGAAGTAACTCGTTTGGAGGTGGATGAAACATGTCCGGTCCATGAAACGAGTCCGTGTCTCGCATGTGTTTAAAAACTACGTAATAAAATGAGCACATGATACAAACCGGTTCCAGGAGTGATTGAACTTTCTTCCTCAAGAGAGCTTGGGACAAGATCCTGATAATCGTTATAATCTAAAAAAATACCAGAAAAATAACGAGTACTACCATCAGAATACAGACGCCGAACATTCCGATGTCGCGCCATCCTTGGTTCGCGTGAAGCAAACGACGCGCAAAGTAGTTGCAACATCTAAACAAACATAAATCTAAAGCATTACTCAACAATACAAAGTTATGATTACTTTAACAAAGCTGATTGTTTTGCAACAAATGGAATTCCATACCAAAAGAGGTTAATTTATGATTTTATAAATCGGATAAATTCCAGCATTAGCACAATATGCACGATTTACATGAAGGCGACTTTAAGAACTTAAGCATGGATATGAGATCTAATTGCTTTGACCAGATGGTCAAGTTGTAATATATACTAGTTTGTTAAGTGGACCCTTATGGGTGAGAGGCGGGAACCAACTGGGAAAGCGAATCATGTGCGCGAAGCCGGTGAGGAGTCTCCCTCCACTTGATATTTCCTACTCGCCTCATCTGCATCCCATTTCCAATTCTTTCTATAACAAATGCCAAATAAATCATCTGCAACCAACTCTCTCTTGAAGTCTGAGGTTCAAGGATCAGAGGGTAGACAGACAGCTCTTACACAAGTTTCACATGTTCATGATCATGCATCCCACCGCTCGTCTTAATTCATCTTTTGCATTGACGACTACAATACCATCAGTGCTAAAATAAGTCATGCGAACCAATTGTGTTGGTACCGTTTCCTTTGATGCAGGGATGATATGTGTTATTAGTTTCCGGAGGCTTCCCATAGGGTGGAAGAAGGCATAAGTGATGTTAAATGCATGTATCCCGAAGACGACATGGCAAATGAGGTCTGAACGTGGCTTGAAAGGCAGCCCACGTGTACAGGA